TCAATGCTTCCTCATTCTTTTCTTCGCGAGACAAAGCATTCCAAACACCTTTGATTATTCATATATCTCTATTAAATGTTAAACCAATGAAACATAACCCCCACTCTCTAGAACTATCACTTGTGTAGCACAAGGGTGTGCACATATACTATGTATCCTTGAGAAAATTTTTATAATTATTTTATAAAGATCCTAAAATGAGTATTTAGATGATTCATATTGATAGAATGCATTGAAACAATTAAATTCTAATTAAATAATTTTTTTAAGAAAAAATCAAGGACCTTGATTTACCTATGGATAACATATTAAATGCATATGGAATGCGTATATGGAGCGTATCGAGTGCGTACTTTGCAAAGCTAAAGAAAAACCTTTTTTAATCACAAGGAATCAAGGATCAATGGTGAGAAACCGAATATTCAACGCTTCCTCATTCTTTTCTTAACGAGACGAAGCATTCCAAACACCTTTGATTCTCCATATATCTCTATTGAATGCTAAACCAATGAAACATAACCTCCACTCTCTAGAACTATCACTTGTGTAGCACAAGGGTCTGTACATATACTAAATATCCTTGAGAAAATTTTTATAATCATTTTATAATGACCCTAAAATGAGTATTTAGAGGATTCATATTGAAGGAATGCATTGAAACAATTAAATTCTAATTAAATATTTTTTTAAAGAAAAAATTAAGGACCTTGATTTGCATATGGATGGCATATTAAATACGTATGGAATGCGTATATGGAGCGCATCGAGTGCGTACTTTGCAAAGCCAAAGAAAAACCTTTTGATTTATTATTTTTTAAAAATACACCTATCATATGCATAAAACACGCATCAATTACGCATAATATACGCATATCATACGTAGGCGATACGTATATCATACGCATCAATCCTAATATATTGTGTATATTATGTCGTATAAAATATGTCCGAGTTGCTTATTATAAGCATATCATGCACGTATTTACTAAATCCAAATAAAAATATTTTATGCACAGATATTTTACATATATCAGTTATTTACACAAAAATACTATATGAAAAGTTAATTTCAATGCTGCACAGAACAATGCGTATGAGAATTATGTCCTATATTTTGGCATTTTTCCTACCAATCTTTACTCTCTCTCCACTTGGTGCTGTTTTGTCGAATAATATTTTCCATGTATTTGCAAACAAATATTTCGCAATCTGCATTGTTTGACTGAGTTGGCGCCTTCTTGATTGCCTTGAAATTCCATTTGTTGATATCATCATCAAAAGATTTTTTACAATTCCAATATAAGCTTTTAATCTAAACAATATATGGAATAGAATTTAGTTTACTGAACAATAATTTTGAAATTTTTTAACAAATGATATTAAACTTACTATCTTTGTAGAAATACTTCTATGCATAGGGTTGGGAACAGAATCGTAAAATTCCCACTTTTTCTGATTTCGGAATCCAACCAGAAGGGTCCAATGCGAACCGTCAATAATTAAATGAAGTATAATGTTGCTTGAATGAACAGAATTGTAGTTTATGTGTTCGATGAACAATTTTAAACTTGGATCCTTCAACTTGTAATGCTGCAAGAATTAAATATAAGAATAAAATATTTGAAAAATAATATTATATATAAAATAAACAAGTATACTAACCCAGTACATTGGTGAGATGTATAGAAATTTATGATACTTGTCTGGGAAAATTATAGCCTTCTCATTTAATAAAATGACAAAGGAATCTACATGATCATTGTCAAGGTAACTATCAGATAATATTTCGTCCATCCCACGTCTAGAAATTATAATGTTCCCAGCTTGAAATATTGGATTGCTACTGAAATCATTAAGCATAAAATATGCATTAGGTACGCATATAAAACACAGTTCTTACGCAAGAAATATGCACAAGTTACTCAATAAATACTCACATGTTACGCAAGCAATACGCATAATTTACGCAATAAATACACACAAGTTACGCATATAAAATACATGTCAAGATAATTCTTTATATTCTCCCTAATAAAAAGTTGCTTCTCAGGACTCAACATCTCCAAGCCAATGTAGTTAACTGTAGGACTTGCAGGTGTAGGATTTACTATAACATTATCAACGTTGATTACTTCTTTTGGGGATGGAACTTTTTGGGATGGTTATTTTTGGAAAGGAACAATTTGGGATGGTTCTTCTTGAGGAGGTTCTTTTGGAGATGAAATAATTTGGGATGGTTCTTTTTGGGAAGGTTCTTTTGGGAAAGGAACTTGTTGGGACGGTTCTTTTTGGGGAGGTTCTTTGGGGGATGGAACTTGTTGGGATGGTTCTTTTTGGGGAGGTTCTTTGGGGGATGAAACTTTTTGGGATGGCTCTTTTTGGGCAGGTTCTATTTGGGAGGGCAAGTCTAATTTCTGCTTCTTGTATACCCTTTCAATTTTTAATAAACTAACATCCTCTTCTAAGTCAGCAGCCTTTGTCATCTCTGGGTCATTGATTTTCTGTGGGATATTGGACTTCTCCGGGACATTGGAATTCTCTGGGGCTTGGGTCTTTGTGTGTTCATAAGATCTCCCAATATTCTTCATTGGATGGTGAATAAATGATGATGAGGAGGGAGCAGGTTGCTGATCAAGATAAGATTTCCTTGAACAATGTAATTTTGGAGCTTGTTATCAATAAAATCAACTCTTTTCACAACTTGCTCAAAATTCCTGCTCAGCATAGCTTCAAATTCTTGAAAGAGGTTTTTGCAGGTATCATGGACAATTTTCATTATTTTCTCTTCAAGAACATCGAATGATTGAGGTGAATGTGGAAAGTTTGGATGCTTAGGTGATTGGGGTTGGGATTACAGGTTAGATTTGGGTTAGGGTTGCTGGGGAGATTGTGGGGGAATATGATGTTTACGTGTATTGGTTTGAATGGGAGAATGGGGGCTTGATGGATATTTCTTGATACCATGAAGATTAGCTTCTTCAAGGGTAACTCCTTGGAGGTCAACAAAAATATGTGAATAATTAATTTGTAATAAAATTTGTCATCAAATAATTCATTATTGCGTATTTATACGCACTATATACTCAATAAAATATGCAATATATATGCAATATATACGCAATACGTATGCAAGACATACACAAGACATGTGCAATAAATAAGCAATATATAAATATTTTCACAATATATACCTGTCTTCTCTTTAAATTAACAAATAATTTAGCTTTCTTCTCAGTATTATATACTATGTCATCAGCCCATCGAAGGAAACGGGGCCTTCTCTCAGGGTACTTCAGGTAATGAATGGAAGTGTGCTCCAGGAACCAAACCTGTATAAAGTAAAAGTAAATTTTAGCAAATCAAGCAGTCAAATAAAATGTTAAATTAGAATTGTTTTAGCACTCACAATTAGCAGAGACACAAAACTATTGACGTAACATGCTGGCTTGTTCATTGAGATATTCAAAGATACATTATTAAATTCTTCAACAAGACATTTCCAAATCGACCATGCCTAGTTAATTGATGAAAAATCATCAACATTATTTGATATTGTTTTTAACAACCTAAAGATTTTGAAGTTGCTTTGTTGGAAAAATAAATTTAAACATAGATACATAAAAAATGTTTTCAACATAATCTCTGGGGCGCTTTCTCTAGTCAACTCAAGCATTTCAGGCTTTATATCCTTTGAAGTGATGGTTGTAGTGGGCAAGGAAAGCCAGGTAATCTCCTCACCTTTGTTTGGAAGATAAGTATGGAGGGCCACTTCATCAGCTGTGAAAGGTATAACATGACCATCTATAACAAAACTTTTATTTGGAATATTTCACATTGTCATGAGCTGGTAAATTAGTGGGGCGTTTTGGTCGAATCCAGGAAATTGAAGAAATTTGTAGATATTTAGGTTTTTCAAATTTTCTTCAATTTCAAGAGGAATTATCTTGGAAAAAGAATCACAGATTGTTCTAAATGTGAAAACATAGCAGCGATAAGATATATGACGGACGTAAATCTGCGTAAATTAAGAAAATAAAATTAATTTAGAGAAGCAGGGGATACGCATTAAATACACATATAAAACGCAATAGATACGCTGCGTATACGCATTAAATACGCAACGTATACGCATATTATACGCATTATATATGCATATGGTACACAAAGAATACAAAAAATGTCAACAAAAATCAATAATTATTTACACTAATCGTTTTTCTTTATTGGATTTTTTTAAGATTTACTATCCAAAGGATTTATTTTAAATTGTTAGGGTTTGAGTCTTCAACATATACACAGAAAATAAGTATACGCAGAATATACACATAATATACAAAGAATATACGCAGAAAGAACGTAAATGGTGAGATAAATATAATCTTTTACTGTTCTCGGAATGATTTTATTTATTTTTTGTTTCTTCAGCAAATACGTAGTGAATACCAAAGAAATACGGAATACATTTTATTTCAATGTAAGCATTAACATACATTTTTCTTTGCTGGTGAATCCTTTTCCTCCTTCATTTGAGCAGAAGAGATTGCTGAATTTTTTTGCAGGAACCTCGGAGAACTGGAGCGAATGGCGGAATAGTGATAATGTGAAAATTTTTCGCCTTTTTCATCTTTTTATTTTTAATGTTGGACGGGCGGGCGGGTGTCTCTTCGCTGTAATCAGTCCGAAAAGACTAACGGGTCAGGTAAGAATTCAAATAAACCTCTTAACTTTCTACGTAATCGCATCACGCATGACAATTTTATTGGCATCCACTCCGCACCAAATAATTACCTTTGCTTCGTTTTTAGGTCCTCCAGATTCTGTTGTCGTCGGTGCTTTAGACTCATTTCACTGTTCTAAGTGGCGTTGAGAGAGAGAGAGATCGTTTGGCGACGGCAGATGCTAGAAGGACCGGGGGAGAGGTGGAAGTGAAGGTCGATCGATGGTGTGGAGGTGGTGGGAGAGATTATTAAGCGGTGTTGGTGGATCGATTGCAGAGGGATTCGCCGGCGGTGGAAGGGGCGGCTGGATCCGGGGGATCGGTGGAGGCGGTGGCGGCGATCGGTGGGATGTCAGCGCGGCGATAGGTGTGACGGCCATGCTCGGACTTGCCGTAGTAGCCACCGTCGTCTTGTCATCCCGTAGGTAAGTTGAGAATCAGAGAACCCTTCGTCATCTGTATGTTATCTCCCTTCTCGTTTTTGTTCCCAGCCTTCTGAGTCCACGCTCGTGGAGAGGGAAAGCAGCAGAGGGATGAAATATAAAGCTATTAGATGAAGGCTCTTCGACCATAGTTCGTCGAATTCTCGATCTTCTTCTTCTCCTTGCCCTTCATCTTCATCTTCTAACTCTTCATCCTCGATGTCGTCCCACTGGTCGGCCCATTCGCGGTCGCTTCTCATTCTCAACTCCTCTCAAGTTAGCAATCGGTGAGTTTATGTTCCTGCTTCAGTTCTCCTATGTTCTCATTCTCCTACTTTTGTCTCGAACCAAATCTTGTAAAAATTTTGATTTTTCACAGTTTCACTATCTTTGTTCAGTTTTATCTGTTCACTTCAGAAGATAGGCATAGGAATAGTTTGGTTTGCTTTCATGGCAAATTATGAGGGAAATGTTAATTCAGGAAGAGAAGTATTTAATCACGCTGATCGGTGGCATTTAGGCATGGCGTTAGGAATGAAAACCATGATAGATCTCGGCCTGGCTGCCACTATTGTCTTTTCATCCCGTGGATGATAAGAAAATCAAGTAATATTTCCTTTTCTAGCTATTATTCCTTATGTACCTTTGTTCCCGTCGTTCTTATTCCGCATGCTAAAGCATGGGTGAGGGAAACCTAAAAAGGAGTAGCAGAAAGGCTATTATATTAAGGCTCTTTTACGATTTCATCCTACATCAAAATCTCACTTTTCTTCTCCTTCTATTCATCTTTGCTGTCTTCCTCCCGGTGGATTCAAGCCAACCAACTACCAACTTCTAATACTTGAAATAATTGCAATTGAATTTTCTAAATGTTTGCAATTAAATTTGCTCAATTTCAATGTACGCCCCTAGTTTGTGGAATTCATCCTACATAAAATTCTCACCCATCAGGTTCTTTTCATCTACACTGTCTTCCTCCTTGTTGTTCCATTCATGATGGAGTTCAAGCACACTAACTGTTATTTTCTAATGTTTCTAACAATTGTAAGTGAATTCACACAATATTTGCAATTAAATTTGCTCAATCAAATTCTCGCCCTTCTCCTGTTTTTGATCTTCACTCTCTTCCTCCATGGTGGAGTTAAAGCACTAACTGCTAACTTCTAATACTTTGCAATTAAATTTGCTAAATGTTTGCAATTAAATTCGCTCGATGTTTATCCTTTACCATAGTTTCACTACCTTTGTTCAGTATAGGTGTTTTGCTTCAGAGAATAGTTGATAGAGTAGTTTGGTTTGCTTTCATGGGAAGGCAGCTGAGAGTCAAAATGTTAATTATGGAATGATTTAATCACAGTGAACCTAGAAGATCTCTATTTCTCTCTGAGTTGAACGTGCTTTAGTTTGCTTTTTTCTTCATGATATTTCTTCATAATATCAACTTTATGATTACCAGAGGCAGCCTCAAATCACCTTGGTCTAGAAGGAAAAGAAAACATGTGCTTACCCCACAACAATGGAAAAGGTTCTTTACCTCAGAAGGGAAGCTTTTTGATGGAGGGGCTAAACTTCTAAAGAAAGTTAGAAGTGGGGTAAGTGCATATTACATTGAAATTATGTTAATGCATATGTGTTATTCTAGTTTAAATAAATGTCCTAAGTTTTTGTTTTTGTTTATTGTTTAGGGAGTGGACCCGAGTATCAGGTCTGAAGTTTGGCCTTTTCTTCTTGGAGTGTAAGATTTTAACCTTGAAAGCTTTGAAAAATTTTTCCATCTGTTTTATATACAATACTTAAGTAAAGTGCGTGTTGGTTCTAAAATTTTCTATTGCATATAGTTTGCCTATGTTTCCACCCTCCTATCCCCACTCTTACTACCACCCCATCAAAATTAGTAGATTAACTGTTCACTTTTTATGTTAATCATAATATTGGTCCTATTACGTATGCAATGCTCTGGAAAATTGTGGTTCTTTGGCTCTTGTATTTCAAGAGGGTCACGGAGCTTCAGTGTTCATCAACTAAAGAAAGGACTGCATGCACCCATCATCTCAAAAGAGTTGTGTATCTTGTTTTTGAAACCAAGGCCCCAAATTATTTTTCCATTATTTTTATAATTTCTTATTTATTGATATTTAATGGATGAATCAACTAACTAGAAATGATTTTCTTGCACTTATATATATAATATATGCTGGACTTGAATTTATTTAAAGTCTATTTAAAATCAATCATTTTATATTTGAGCTAAAATCAAGATGTTCAATTCAAATCTGAGCTGCTCACTTGAACCAACTTGATCTAAACTTCATAATTATTGATTATGCATTGTTTTCCCTTAAAAAATATTATGTTTAGGATTTCTGTTATAGTTATCTTGTATGCTATCCCTAAAATTTTGAAGTAAATATTACAAATTATTCTATTAAGGATAAAAGGAGAAGAGACAAATTTGCAAAAGAAATAAGGAGGGTAGTTGTTCTATGTTTGAGCATTATACACACACACACACACACACACACACACACACACAGATATATATATATATATATATATATATATTCCCGAACAACATGAAGTCAAGCCTTCTTTTCACACTTAAGTTTTATGAGTATTCAAATGATGACAAAATTGTCTATATTGCCACACTCATTTATTGACAACATGTTATCATGTATAATTTGTTAATCCTGACATCATTATGATCATCTTTAGCCATATATGGGGTTAGTTTGTAACATTCATTCCCATTAAGTGTTCAAGAAGTGTTAAAAACAATATGGGCATATGTTTCTAGACAAAATCCCATAATTACTTGATATCAATTTAATTTTTGTATTATAGATGTATTTTCATTATTTAAAAAGATGTTATATGAGTAGAGAAAGAGTGTATTGATTCATATTTTAAGAATAAATGTGATGTACAAGAGTGTGCGAATTATAGACGAATTAAGTTAATGTGCCGTACATTAAAATTATGGAAGAGTAATTGAGCATAGGTTATGACGTGATACTAATGTTTCTCAAAATTGGTTTGGATTCATGCCAGGTAGGTCTACTATGGAAGCTATACATTTGTTGAGAGGTTTGATGGAGAAGTATAGAGAGAGTAAGGAGGATTTATATATGATATTTATTAATTTGGAGAAAGCATATTATAAAGTTCCAAGAGAAGTGCGTTTGAGAGTTTTATGAAGACAAGAGTTAATAATGCTTATATTCGAGTCATTAAGGACATGTATGCAGGAGGTGTTACTAGTGTTCAAACATAAGGTGGTTTGACCCAGTATTTTCCTATTTCAGTTATATTACATTAAGGATCAGTGTTTTTTTCTTTAGTCATGGATGTTCTTACTAGATATTTGCAAGAGGATGTATCTTGGTGTATATTTTTTGATGATGATATTCTTCTTGTTGATAAGACTAGAGCGGGAGTTGAAAAACTTGGCTTATGGATGCCAACCTTAGATTCTAATGGTTTTCTTTTGAGTAGATTTAAAACTGAATGCATGAGTTTCATTTTAGTAGTTATAGATCTTGTTGTGGGATTGTCACATTGGGTGATCAAGTTATAAAAAAGAGTGCATGTTTTAGATATCTTGGATCTATTGTTAAAATCAATGGTGAAATATATGGGGATATTATTAATAGAATTCAAGTTGGATGTTTAAAGTGTAGGAATGTATTGGGCCTGTTTGTGTGGTAGAGAAGTACCCCTCAAACTTGATGGGAAATTTTATAAGTTAGTTGTGAGAACTGCAATACTTTATGGCGCAGAATGTTGGCCATCAACAGAGAAGCATAAAATTAAGTTAAGTGTTGCAAAGATGAGGATGCTCAGATGGATGAGTGTCTTTACACTTAGACACAATATGCAAAAGGAGTATATATGTGGAAAGGTTGTAGGGAAACCACTCCCTTAACCTAACTAGTTTCGCAATGACCTGGCCGACTCCATGTCGGCCATGCTGATTGCAACATCTTATTCCAATTGGTTTCCAAACCCTTGATTGAGTTTGCCTGTCGGACATACAACTTACTCTTTATGGATTCATTTTTTCTTAGGAGTCGAACTGCATTACAACCACAAATCTATGCACCAAGTCATATTCACATTATGGAAAGTCTAATTGAACTCCATACCAGCTAACAATCAATCCAACCAATCTCGGTTGGATTCATTCCAGTTGGGTCGCATTTGAATTCAACCCATAGTTTTCAAAACTACCCAAGTTTGCTTTTATTTTCTTCCATAGAGACAAGAGTATTAGAAGAGAGCCCCCACTAGCATGGACTTTGTCTCGATCACCTGACCATCTCACCAAAACCTAAGTATATGTGTAATTTTTTAACCTTTTGAATACCTGAAATATTATTTGGATGTCTGCTGACACGCCTCATATCAACATCTCAATGTCTTCTAGTCTTAGGTATGGTATTCTTGATGGGTCAAGCATGAATTATTAGATTATGAGGTAATTGAGTAGGACGTCTAATCTGGTTAGATCTTGTCGGTTGTACCCACCTTCGGTAGTGAATTAGAAGTAGCCAAACGCAACCCCCCTCTCCAACATCACATGCTGTTAGCTGCAACATTGCAGCCTCGGTCGTGTTTCCTCAGTAAGTTAAGATCACATTCCTTGTCTTGATTCACAAAATCCATTAACAAGAGCTACCTTTATAAATTATCATGTATTACTTTGAATGGATATGCCAACCTCTCCATCGATTAGTTGCAGTATAAACTTTCTCTCCTATAAGATGTTATGACCATACATGTCAATGACGCAAAATGGTGCATGCCATGGCTCATGGCGTGGCGTGACGCATATACGACGCCATTTGTTTGGCGCAGTGCAGCGCATTAAAATAGCACACACTATTCATGCCTTGCATGCACAATGGTGCATGGCGCAAGCCGCAAATTGCGCGCGCTATTTTGTTAACATATTATAAGTTTCAAATTATAAATTATAATTAAATTTTTTACGGTTTATATATTAATATCACCATTAATTATTAATTAATTAAATATAAAAAAGATTTAACTTTTTTTGTAGGATTTAAAGCTATCTTTTGTTTATTTGGTGGGATTTAGGTTAAATTAAGCTTAAATCTTGCTCAAATCTATTGATGTAAGTTTTTATAGGGTTTAAATTATCATTTTCGTTGTTTGATAAGATATTTATGCTTAAATTTTGCTCGAATCAACTTTTTATTTGATATTTAATGATATTTAATATATATATATATATATATATATAATTATTTTACATTGTTCATCATGTTTAAAATGGTGCACGCCATGCCGTGCGCTGTGTCATGGCTCAACGGGGAATTTTGCGCAGGGTGCACCATTCGCTATTGACAAGTATGATTATAACCATTATAGTTGTGAGCACTAAGCCTTACCTTTCAACCAAGACTAGCATAGATCCACCTTAATATATGATACCTACGAACTCACTAATATGCCTTCAATGGCCTGATCAACTTCATGTTCGTTCAGACAATTGCTCTTATATTATGATTACGTCCATGGGCCTGACTTAGCGGGTACATCTAATATCTTTCTTACCAACTCTACTTAGACTAGCCTCTTCTCAAATTTCTCCTAAATGTTTGTTCACACAAGGGAGTCAATCTTGGTTGGATCCACGCCATCGCTAATCTTCCCAAATCTATTTTGGCTGAATTTATTTATGTCCAATTCGACCCATCTACTCTCAAATCCAGTCCCGGAGACCTTCAACTTACCCAAGTCCGATTTAGGAAAGTCTCAAGAAGCTCCCAATACCTAATGGCTCCCAAAAGATGATCATTTTTTTCTTGCCCCTAACAAAATTCATTATGCTTGCAGAATTTAATAGGATAACCTCGATCCTTTGAACTGAACATTAGAATATTTCATAAGTGTGTTGAAAAATCAGTGGGCTTTTCATTTTTAGTGTCTATAGGTATAAAGAGTTTGAAATGAGGAGAAAATTGTAACACTTATTTTTTTGTTTTACCCTCAATTAAAAGTGTACATCTTGCAAATAGTTGCAAAGATTAGAGCCGTAGAGTAAGCCGTTGTCTTCTAGGCTATGACTTTCAAACCTAACAACTCAATTTGCTACATCATCTAGTCACCAACTAACCTCGAGAAAAGGACCACTTGGAAGTCCGACTTCTATCTTTTTATTTTTCTAGATGCTACTCATTGCTTTCCGACTAATTAAAACTAGCTCTACCAGATTGCCCAAATTCTACCCTGATATCTCAATCATTATTCTACCAAGATGTATCTTGACTTGTAGAGCCGATGCATGTCTCTATTCAGCCTAAACTACGCTCTCAATAAGTTCCTTAACTTAGCTACACCGGCGAACTCTTCCAGCTTTCTACTCCAATAGTCTACCTAAACACTCTAGTAACTCCTACTAACTTGCTGGTCGTATTTATTTTGAATCTATGTGGATCGCTAAAAATCCAATGAAGCATCTAATCAAGAGTAACAGTCACGCTTTTTTTTACCCTCTCTATATTTAGCAACTTTTGAGCTAACGCATTTCCATCTGAATTGACTTGTCACATCCACCATGGTTCCCTTGCCGCCAAGACTCTTTTAAGGGCATGCAATCAAATTGTCAACCATTATTCTTTACATAGTTTATAATCTCTTCTCAGCATGCCATGTGCTCCACATATTACACTAGCATCCCAATAAAGGAAGACGTTTATGATGCTTATGTCACTTTGTGGGCATGTGCATTTTTTTTTTTCAAAGCCATGGAAAATTTCAAAGCCATGGAAAAGATGGAGTAAGATATTTTGTATTGATCTTTAAGGGGCAAAAAGATTTATGCTGACTAGAGTTGAAGATTTCATGTTGCACTTAACATAAATGAATGGTGATCCCAAGTAGTTGGTATAAAGATAATCATGGTTATGATGTTTCTCTAAGAACTTTTCTTGCATATCAGATAATTGTAATTCATAAACCATACCCCTTGTATTTTCAAGAAAAAACCTTGATTTAAATTTTGTATGTAATGTTATTTTATCATTAATTTTTTTTTTAATTATTTTCTTTAGTTATGAGCTGAACAGTTCAGAAGATGAAAGAAATGCTGTGAGAAAGCAAAAACGGTTAGTGAACGTGCTTTACCTTTTCCTTATGCATCCAAATTTTATTTTGTATAATATTGTATTGTTGCAGAAGTTTTAAAATATCAGCTCTTCTTCCTTGTTTGAATAGAATTGCAAGAAAAAAAAAAATGGGGCTTCTTAGCTAGGTTTATTAATTATTAGTAACCTTAATGACGTCGGGTATACAATGAAATTCTGAAAATAGTAGAATATAAGAATACAATATAGTAAACTGTAATCAAATAATGAATTCTCAAGCTATTGATGTTGACTTCTCAAGACATTAGATTGTCGAATCCTCAAGGAAAAAATATTAGGAGGCTAAGCGTGGGCTATAGAACGTTTTTTGAATCTTCAGAATCTAAACTAATTCTAAAAGTACATTCATCAGGGCCTATTTATATAAAGACCAAAGCCTAATTAATGATAAATATTTGTTATCTTTATTACATTCAAACTATTCTTTAAAATTTTGCAAATTTATGAGAACTCGGCCAAAACTAATAATGAGCTAAGAAATACTTGAAAATTTGTCTAGATTTTCTCTTTTATTGGTTGATTCAACTCCTTTTATTTGGCCAATAAAAATTTGATTTTTTACGAACCACTTAGTAAAAAATATTGCATTGTTTATCCAGAGTGGAAATAACTTACCTTTACAAACTAAAGTGGTGGAATGTCTAAAATGAAAATGATATTTTCATATTGTCCAATGCTAAAAGGCATTTTAAGGGATTGCCTTGGGGTGAGGTAGGTTGGTGTAAAATTGCCTCTTCGTAGTCAAGGAAGCTGTGTTCGACTTGTGGGGTTTGCTTTGCAGGTTGAGGTATCTCCCTTGGCCTGATTGTGCTTGTTAGTAGGGCCATAGCCCTATTATATAATTGAACTTAAAATAAATTATCAAATTACTAACTGTTAACATATCATAAATATCTTTCTAATTTATTTAAATAAAAATAATTGTTGAAAATTTTTATTTTCCTTTTATACTCTTAAGAGTTAAGTTTTATGAAATCAATTTCTCTCCTACATGCTTACAAAATATTGGAGCCTTAAGCTTGACTAAACTCTACCTTTTGTGCGTTATAACAGGTAAAGCATCTTGCTTTATGTCACCTCCTTTTAAATGTTGATCTTATTAGAATAGTTATAACATTTTCACATGCTACCAATTAAAAGACATGGTGGCAGAAGTAGAAGCACAACCTCTCGACCTATAGAAGTAACAACTACAAGAAGAATTGGAGGCTTGATCATGCTTGGAATTGGTAATATATTTGCATTATTAAAAGAGGGATGAGTAGATGTTAAAAGATAAAGGATTTACCTACGCATTAAAGTCTTGTTGACCACCAATTTATTTAAGCTTTATGGACATAGTGATAAAGACAAACAAACAACAAGAAGAACTAGTAACTGTATCAAGAACTGGAGGCTTGAGCGCTCTGAATATATAATATAGTTGCATTATTAAAAGAGGGATTAATAAATGGTAAAAGATAAATTATTTACCTACCCATTAGATTATTGTCAACCACCTATTTAATTAAGTTTTGTGGCTGTAGTGATAATGAGAATTAAATGGAGTGCAAACTATTCACAAAAGATAACCAAACTAAATCATAGTCCTTCATGCAACTTCCTAAATACTATAATGAACTTCTATGATTATCATATGCCTTTCATCTTGTATAGCAAAATTAAGTTAAAAAGTATTATAATTCCTGCAATTGATCAACACATATTGTATCTAAATCATAGAATACATGCCCGGGGGATGCAACAAATTATAGGCAGTCTAATTACTAATTCATGGCTTCATGCATAGGCGTTCAATTACTAAAATATTTAGAATCAAGTTCTATGAGTAGTTTGAAGTTTCCAGATTCAATTGTAGTTTTAGTTTCATATTCAGATTTAGAGATATAAGAATATGCGTTAGATCATATTAGATAGTAATTTGTTGTTCTATGGTTATTTTAAAATCATCATCAGAATGGTTATTGCCCCCCACCCCCAAACTCATTTTGTATTTCATTATTAGGGTTTGGAAGTCCGTCAAATTCTTGTATGAAGGCCATATTTTATAAGAATATTAAAAGCCTATATTACCTTTTCTTAATACTTGCCCAAGCAACCTGAATAACAGGCTAGCAGTAGATTCATCATTTTTGGTTGAATTTTTGAAAGGTGCAAGTTGAATTAAGGGGAACATAAAATAGTTGACCTAACAACCCATATAGACTTGTAGTAGTGATGGAGTCAATGATATTATTTCTAGAAGAAAGTCACATTTCCAATTCTAAGGTTTTATGATGTGCTTCTTCTATTTTTTTGGTTTGATGAGTGCTTGGTCTTAATTTCAAGGCAAAGTTCAATCAAACATCTTGATATTACTACACTTTTTTTTTTCTTGCAAATCACATCCAAAATCTAATTCCTTAAATTTATTTAAATATTCATTAACAGTTTGATTAATCTTCCTTAAATTTATCAATTGTTTAGTTATTAATACTTATATTAAGTAGACAATTATTTGTCACTTACGATTTGTGGGGTAGCTTTCTCCAATGTTTAAAAAGGTGAAATCAGGAATCGAGGCATTTTGTCTAAATGGGGCAAGGTGTAAGCCTCGAGGGGATTGAAGCGTAAGCCTCAAAACGAAAAAGATAAATTACTTAAAAATTATAAATAATTCATAAAAATGATAAAATATTAAATAAATTATGAATATAATGATTTGTTTGAAGATAAATATAATTGTAATACAAGATTTAAAATAAATAGTCACTTAAAATTTAAACACGCCCTTAGGATCAAGGCCCAAGGCAGTCTCATCATTACTTTGACAGTCTTTAGAAGAATCCTTATAACTTATGTCAAAGTCATCTTCAAAATTTTTTTCATCTATAATATTTTTTCCCTGATCTCCTATATCAGTTAACATTTTATTAGTTATATTCTAAAATGAAACAATAATTAATAACATAAAAAATAAGTCATTATAATCAGACAGAAACATTGAGGTCTACTCCAGCCAAATATACTTAAAAGAACATTTCGAAAAGCTCCAAACTATGCATCTTCTGACTAGTATAAAATAAATAGAATTCATGAATGAATATTAAATATTTTACCAGCATAACAATTTTCTTAAGATAAAGACAAAGCAAAGTCTATAAGAATTTTTCATTTATCTCAATGCTTTTGGCTAACAATTTATATTTACAAACTGTGAAGCTATGTTGCACGGATACTCTTATTTACGAGGCGTGCTGTATCGGATACGTGTCGGATACGGATACGCCTCCGATACGGCACAGATACGTGTCGGATACGGCCTTGCCGTGTCCGATTAAAATATTATTTAAATTTGACTGGACACGCGTATCGGATACGCGTGTCCTATTAAAAAAAAAACACTGAGCCACGATTTACCCTTTTCTTTTCGACTTTCCGTGTGAAGGAGAAAATAGCCTAGACATAAATTTTCTAGGCTACAATTTGATGAAGAATTAAAAAAAATCCTTGGAACTAAAAATATATACTTATCATTAGCCAACAAGCAACTTCAAAATAGCTTTGAACCAAAAGCGTGTATTTGCAGTTACGCAAAACCATTATTTATTAAGTACAAAATTTCACGTTGATACTAAATAATAAATTGAAATTTTTTTTGAAGCGGGCGAATCCAAAGCAATAGACGAACAGGAGGAAGGAATGCTACCTTCATTGTAGCAGGTGATACATGAGTAGGCGAAGCCGAAGCAATAGACGAACAAGAGGAAAGCACATTACCTTCATAGTAGCAGATGAGAAGCAGGCAAAGAGGAAGCGAATGACGAACAAGAAAGATCGTCACCTTCACTGCGAGTTCTGACTTTACACGAAGCAGAACTCTACTTAGCTCGTAGAAAATGAAGCCACAACAGCGCACGAAAGGGAATTAAATCATTACCTTTGTTGCGAGCTATGTTGAATTCAACAGGAATGTGGCTATCGAAGGCGGCGAAGGAGTACTCTTTCAAAACTTCTCAGTTCTCATACGAAGTAGGCAAGCCCTACGCCCTAATCCTTATACTTGTCTCGATCGCTTGTGTGGTATTAATACTTGACTCGATCGCTCGTGTGGTATTAAAACATGACAAACAAACTGAGGCAGTGCCTCAATATGCCTTGAGGCGTACACCTCGTGAGAAAAGAGTGCACGCCTCATACGAACCATCAAGGCTTAAGCCTCGAGTTACCTAGGTTGAGCCTCAAGGCGTTTCTCCTTAGCGAGGGGAGGCATAAGCATCGAGACAAATGGAGGCATAAGCCTCAAAATAGAAAAATAAAAAGCACACGAATTTATAAATAGTTCATAAAAATGACAAATATAAAATAAAACATCAACATATTTATTTTATTCTTCATAAAATTATAAATTTCAAGTCTCAATATCAAATGTTATTATAAAATGAAAGTTTGAAATGAAATTCAAAGTAAATGCTCATTTAAAACTTAAACCATAAAAATCAGGATTCACGAAAGCCTCATCTTACTTTCACACTCTTCATAATAATCCTCGTATGTTATAATTATATCATACTTAAATTATGTCTCATTGTCATCTTCTAAACCTTCTTCAATTACAACATTTTTTAGCTCTCCATATTAATTAATATTGGATTCAATGTAATATAAAATAAAGTAGCAAATTAATAACACAACATTTGATATTTGTTTCTTAAGCTTGAACTCCAGTTTGATACTTTTTTTAAATTAATTGTGAAGTTGAGCTAATTTAGTAGTCATTTTAATATTAGCATTGATATCTTCATTTTTCTCATCGCTAAACATATTTCTCCATTTTCAATTTTAAATTTTTCACTATTTTTTACTATTCTCCATTTATCATTAGATATCATTATTTATTTCATCATTACTAGTTGTTTGCCTCTATAATTTGAAGTGCTTATCTTTCAATTTTTTGTTAAACATAACACAACCATTTAACA